CACAGCTCGGGGCTGCTTCTCCCCAAAATCACTGCCTCCCTCCGCCCCAGGGGCAGCCACGATGGATCGCCACGTGGAGCAGGGCTGGGTTAGAAGCTGTCAGCCTTATTTTGCATGAGTAAATGCAGCGGGTAAGCCTTGCCCATGGGAGCAAAAAACCAGATTAAACGTGCGATGGTGGTTTGGTTTGGTTTGTTTTTCTTCAAGGGACAGGGTTTAGAATAAGTTAATTCAAATAAGCTCGTAGATTTTGATCCTGGGCTATGACGGCAGTCACGGACCCCTTCTTTTCCTTAATAGGCACGGGCTGTAAAACCCACAGGAGCTATAAAACTGTGGGACCATATCTAACGGCAGCAGAAGGGTCCTCAAGTCAGCGTGGCGTTACATCTCCAGCCCAGTAGAAAGTTCAAGTTAATCATCTGCTGGCTTTGGGAATACCCCCGGCCCGACTCTCACAGAAAGAATAAATCCCAGCAGGAGAACTTCAAAGGAGGTCTTTTGCTGCCCAGCGCTGGCTGCCGAAGGGAACGCTGAGATGCCTTTGGATGGCTTGGCTGCGAGGTCTCCCCCCACCTCCCCGACGGCGCTCGCCATACAAGTGTCTGCTGACGCCTGCGGAAGCCTGGAAGGAGGCCAAGCCCAGGGCGACGCTTCCCCATCCGAAAGGGGCTTCGGGGGCCTGTTCCCCGTTCCCGGCGCGAGCATTGTTCCGCAGACAGCTGATGTGAGCCTTTTTGGCACAGGAAGGAAACGTGCTTCACCCAGCTGGTGGTGAGGGGCAGCGGCACCCGCAGCCGCCGTTGGGCAAGAAGGCTGCTTCTCCCACCCCGAGGTGGGGAGCTACTGCGGGCTCGACGGCAAAATGAGTTACAGACATTAGATTACAGATAAAAAGTCATGGCAGAAAATGTATGCGCGACCCTTAAAAAAAAAAAAAAAGTCAGGGACAGGGTTTAGAATAAGTTAATTCAAATAAGCTCGTAGATTTTGATCCTGGGCTATGACGGCAGTCACGGACCCCTTCTTTTCCTTAATAGGCACGGGCTGTAAAACCCACAGGAGCTATAAAACTGTGGGACCATATCTAACGGCAGCAGAAGGGTCCTCAAGTCAGCGTGGCGTTACATCTCCAGCCCAGTAGAAAGTTCAAGTTAATCATCTGCTGGCTTTGGGAATACCCCCGGCCCGACTCTCACAGAAAGAATAAATCCCAGCAGGAGAACTTCAAAGGAGGTCTTTTGCTGCCCAGCGCTGGCTGCCGAAGGGAACGCTGAGATGCCTTTGGATGGCTTGGCTGCGAGGTCTCCCCCCACCTCCCCGACGGCGCTCGCCATACAAGTGTCTGCTGACGCCTGCGGAAGCCTGGAAGGAGGCCAAGCCCAGGGCGACGCTTCCCCATCCGAAAGGGGCTTCGGGGGCCTGTTCCCCGTTCCCGGCGCGAGCATTGTTCCGCAGACAGCTGATGTGAGCCTTTTTGGCACAGGAAGGAAACGTGCTTCACCCAGCTGGTGGTGAGGGGCAGCGGCACCCGCAGCCGCCGTTGGGCAAGAAGGCTGCTTCTCCCACCCCGAGGTGGGGAGCTACTGTGGGCTCGACGGCAAAATGAGTTACAGGCGCTAGATTACAGATAAAAAGTCATGGCAGAAAATGTATGCGCGACCCTTAAAAAAAAAAAAAAAGTCAGAAAAACCCCCTATGGTGTGAGGGAAGCTACAGATTCTTCCTTGGCTGGTTTGTTGAAAGCTGAAAATAGAGACGTCTATTCCCAAATACTTCTGTTCCACCAAAGGGTTTGTTTCCCCGAGGTCTGAAGAGCCTCATCTCCGTATGTTTGCAGAAAAAAAAAAAAAAAACACAATAGACACTGGATATGCTCCAATATGCTGGATAGGAGCGTGCCTTCCCTGGATTAACTTGACATCCTTTGGTGAGGAGGAGTGAAGGTGTGAGAGCAATGTGTAATTTCCTTTTGGATTGCTCCCCTAATGTGGCAGATTCCTCCTGCCAGTGAAGCAGTGGTGGGACTCATGCTCCCACCCTTATCTACCTGCTGCTCTGTTTCCTTTCTGTCCCTCTCCTGAGCTGTACAAATGTGGATTCAAGCAACCCATTGCTCAGCCACTCTGGACGTTGCCAAAACTGGCCTTGGATTGGCCGTTTCCGAGGATGCTCTTTAGACGTTGAAACTCAAATTTTGGCTTTCACCACCCTGGCTGAGCTCAACCTCAGCTTCAACAGTTTCAGCCAAGCCCCTCAAAAAAGGTAGTTATTTTTGGTCTCAGTGGTTCTCTGGTGGCCTGAGCCTACACCCACCCACCATGAAGCAGCTGCTGTGGGCCATCGTGTCCTCTTCTTGCTATGAAATGGGAGGCAAGCCTGGTCCAGTCTGGCCAGAAGACCCAGCACAAGGGATGTCCAGATGCAAGTTAAACCCTCCTGAACCGGTGGGGCTTGTGCAAAATGGGGTTTGGCCCCAAGGCACCACTCAAAGTGAAATGGGGCTTGTGGAGGCTGTGACACCCCCCCTCCCCACAAGCCCCAGCAGAGGAAGGCTTGGAAAGGTTTGACAGATGGGAATGCTTGACAGATCGGGCCATTCTCCCGATGCTTGTGTGAAAGCTCCAGCACTACTGACCCCTTTTACACTCATCAGGCCATGGTCAGTGGCAGCTGGAGTCCCCCTGCCCTGCCTCCTGGGGACTGGAGGAGCTCGGCCGCTGTGATGCCCCCCAACCCACCTTCTCCAGAAACCATAAAGCCCCGTCTCTGACTAACCCTGCATGACGGCCGGGATAACTTCTGTGGGTCCAAGGTATGTCAAGCAGCATCAGCCCAAGCTCGAGCCCAAGGCTGTGGCTGCCAGGATGAGCCTCTGGGTCCTGCTCACAGCCTGCCAGCTGCCTTGGGGAGAAAACACACACTTTTTCTTCTCCAGGGGCTCCCAGTGCCACTATTTTTAAGCGCATCAGGCCAAAACTCGCTGGAAGGGTTGGGCTGTGTTAGACCCAGGCAGATGCTCAGCAGTTCTTCCGTACAGGAACCGGTCAAAAAGGGGAGGGGATTTTTTTTTAAATTATTATCTTTTTTTTTTTTTTGGTTTCTGGCAGGTTTTGGTCACAGCCCAATTGGCGATTATTAAAAGGCAGCGAGTTTCCACGTTCCTGAACATCTGGCCCTGTCTCCTGGTGCCTGGGGGAGAATAAAACAACAGATCCTGGGAATGCAGGACATGTGCCTGGGCTCGTAGGATCAGCTGCACCGGTTCTGTGTACTCAGGGGCACCCTGGCTCCCTGCAGACTGGCCTCTCCCCCGAGCCCGGCACAGGGGGCCCATCACAGCCCCCAAACCTCCAAGCTGGGTTTTGCATGAAAGGTTTGGGGCATAGGAGAGGGTTTCACAGAGGTGCTGGAGGGTCTGAGGTGCTGGTGTTATCCTGGGCGTCCAGGGGTGTCTGTGATTCTTCAGGGTGGGGGTTCTCCTCCTTGCAACGAGCTGGAGTCCTCCGGTCATGCTCACTGCAGGACGTCCAGAGCACAAGTCTTGTGAGGAGAGGCTGAGGGAGCTGGGGGTGTTCAGCCTGGAGAGAAGGAGGCCAAGGGGATACCTTCTCGCTCTCTCCAACTACCTGAAAGGAGGGTGTAGCCAGGGGGGGTCGGTCTCTTCTCCCAAGTCACAGGAGATAGGACAAGGGGAAACGGCCTCAAGTTGCACCAGGGGAGGTTTAGGATGGATATTGGGAAAAATTTCTTCACAGAAAGGGTTATTACACGTTGGAATGGGCTGCCCAGGAAAGTGGCTGAGGCACCATCCCTGGAGGTGTTTCAAAGACAGATAGACATGGTGCTGAGGGACATGGTTTTTGTCAGAAGTTGATGGTTGGACTAGATGATCTTAAAGGTCCCTTCCAACCTCGACCGTTCTATGACTCTGTGGCTCCGCAGCACACAGTGTCAAACAGCACCTTTCCTGTGGGGACAGTCTGAGATAGTTGGGGTTCTTGAGGCTAGAGAAGACTTCAGAGAGACCTTACAGCAGCTTTCCAGCACTTAAAACGGGCCTGCAGGAAAGCTGGAGAGTGTCTTTTTACAAGGCCATGAAGCGATAGGACGAGGGGTAATGGCTTCAAACTGGAAGAGGGGAGATTTAGGTTAGATCTCAGGAAGAAATCCTTTGTTGTGGGGGTGGTGAGACACTGGAACAGGTTGCCCAGAGAAGCTGTGGCTGCCCCATTCCTGGAGATGTTCCAAGGCCAGGTTGGATGGGGTTTGGAGCAACCTGGTCTGGTGGGAGGTGTCCCTGCCCAGGGTTGGAACTCCATGATCTCTCTACAGCTACCTGAAAGGAGGGTGTAGAGAGATGGGGGTCGGTCTCCTCCCAAGTCTGATTGATAGGAGAAGAGGAAACAGCCTCAAGTTGCGCTGGGAGAGGTTCAGGTTGGATATCAGGAAAAATCATGATCTCTCTACAGCTACCTGAAAGGAGGGTGTAGAGAGATGGGGGTCGGTCTCCTCCCAAGTCTGATTGATAGGAGAAGAGGAAACAGCCTCAAGTTGCGCTGGGAGAGGTTCAGGTTGGATATCAGGAAAAATTTCTTCACAGAAAGGGTTATTGCACGTTGGAACGGGCTGCCCGGGGAAGCGGCTGAGGCACCATCCCTGGAGGTGTTCAAAAGACGAATTGACACGGTGCTCGGGGATAGGCTTTAGCGTCCGTGTGTGTGGTTTTTTGGGGTTTTTTTTGTTTGGTTTTTGGGGGTGGTTTTTGTTTTGGGATTTTTTTGGGGGTTTTTTATGGTGGGACTAGATGATCTTAAAGGTCCCTTCCAACCTCGACCGTTCTATGACTCTGTGGCTCCGCAGCACACAGTGTCAAACAGCACCTTTCCTGTGGGGACAGTCTGAGATAGTTGGGGTTCTTGAGGCTAGAGAAGACTTCAGAGAGACCTTACAGCAGCTTTCCAGCACTTAAAACGGGCCTGCAGGAAAGCTGGAGAGTCCCGATCCCGGCGGGAAAGGAGGAGGAGGAGGAAGAAGAGGAAGAAGGGAGTGGGTTTTGGGGTGGGGGGAGGAGATGGATAAGTACGACGACCTGGGCCTGGAGGCCAGCAAGTTCATCGAAGACCTCAACATGTACGAGGCCTCCAAGGACGGGCTCTTTCGGGTGGACAAAGCGGCCGGCAACAACCCCGAGTTCGAGGAGACCCGGCGGGTCTTCGCCACCAAAATGGCCAAGATCCACCTCCAGCAGCAACAGCAGCAGCAGCAACAGGAGGAGATGCTGATGGCCACCCTGAACGGAGGAGGGGCTGCCTTCAGCGCCCCCCGGCCCAGCCCTCCGGTGGCACGGGGGGCCAAACCACCCCCAGCTTCCACCGGGAGGCTGTATGATGGAGGGGAGCGTGGCTTCAGTGAGACCTCGGGGAGCCAGGCTGGACGCCGGAGCTGGGAATCGGAGCCCGACAGGATCCCCAGAGCTGGGGGTTTGACACGGCCCGGCGTGGGACGTGGGGAGCAGCTGGCCAGCAGCTCCTCTGAACCCCAGCCCTGCCACGGCAGGCAGGAGAACGGCGGCGAGGGCAGGCGGGGTGGTGGGGACCAGAGGTCCTCCTCCTTCTCGCACACCCGGGCCCCCCCAGCACCCTCAGCGGGGACGGAGGAGGGGGCTCCAGGGACCCTGGGGCAGCAGAGGTCCTCCTCCTTCTCCACCCCCTCGGTGCAGCCTGCCCGAGGGTTTTCGGGCCCCGCTGAGGCCTGTGGTCCCAGGGCCAGAGGGGATGGCAGCCAGCTGTGGTACCAAGGCGTCCCGCTCTCATTCTCCCCCAGCTCCACGCCGACCGCCCCGAGTGCGGACTACCAGCACGCCACTGCCTACCCTGGCCCAGCCGGCCACTTCGTAGCCCACGGTCAGAGCCACCAGCCCAACGGCAGCGGGACGGGCCCTGAGCCCAGCTCCTCACGCCTGGCCTCGCATGGGCCAATGGCTCCGGATGCTCCACAGCCACCTTTCCCAGAGGGCGGGAACGTCCCGCGGTCAGACGGTGGGCACCCGGAGGGCTCCGGTGCGGTGAAGGTGAAACTGCCCTGCCAGACCCTCCATCCACAGCCAGAGCAAGGGCCATCGGCCGCCGAGCTGAAGCTGGAGGCCCTGACCCAGCGCCTGGAGCAGGAGATGGACGCTCGGCCAAAGGCCGATTACTTTGGTAAGGAGGAGATCCGGCAGTCGGCGTGACAAGGGGCTCGTTGCAAAGTGTTACCGCGGGGTTGACATGTCTCCATGTGCTTGATTATGCTTTTTCAGTTGCTCAGGGTCTGTTTTTTTGGTGGTTTGTTGTGGTTTTTTTTGTTATTTAACTTTTATTTATCACAGGGACTGGAGGCTCTTCAACGCCGCTTTTTTTCTTTCATCCCACCTCTTCAGTTTTAAAGCAAAGGTGGTGTGGCAGCTCTGGGGAGGACCGTGCTGAGAAGAAGCTGGACCAGCATCTTCTGAAGTGTCCTTTGCTGCCAGCAGGGAGGCGCTTATACCTTTCCTTGACAGTGCTCCTGGCTCTCTGTGTCTTAAAAGTGCTCTGCCTTGACCCTGTGTGAGCGGGAAGGCAGTGTTGCAGCCCACGGAGGGGTTGTGCCTGCATGCTCTGTGGGCACAGAGTAGGGTACAGAGCCAGGGGAGCCTTGGTGGTATCCCCCCATAGAGGTGGACGTGGCCAGGCATGCTTGTGGGATGGCTTGGAGAGGAGTTGCCTGGAGATGGGAAGGGTGGTGGTTTCCCAAACTTGCCAGGATTTCCCCCCACCCCGCCCCCAGGTGCTGGTCCCCGTCAGCTCTGAAAGGATCAGTGCATCCTGAAGAGGGCAAAAAAACAGGCGGTAGGGACATTCCTGCCAAAATCTCAGGTCTGTGAGCAGGCCAGACCACCACCAGAGGTTATCGCTGGCACTGGGCAGTGGAAAGGGACCGCTGACGTGCAGGGATCTCCCAGTGAGGATATTAAATGTCCTGCTGGATTAAACCGATTTACCACCCCTGGGCAGCAGAAGGTCAGGGACAAATCGAGCGTTTCCTTCCCCTGCCGTGCCACTTGGCAATTTAATGGCAGATGAGATAGTTCAGCTTTTGGGAGAAAGAAAGCTGAAGTTGCTGGGAAGGCTGAGAACTCCATGGTTAATTTGACAAACGATGGGGGCAGGTCCAGTGTATGGACCTTCCTCACGGTTTTAGACCCACGGTCACAAAAGCAGGAGCAGGGACAGATTAAACTCTTCAGCCTGGTGCAGAGGAAGGGTTTGCATCTCAAGCTGCTGCCTGGTGGGGGTTCACTGTGGGCTTCACACCAAGCTTTGGGGACGTGGCTGGAGGGACCACCAAGTGCTCAGCTGCAGGTTGCACAATGAAAGGGGTGTCTCGGCATCAGGTGGTGGTAGTTGCCCGCAGAGGGCTGTGCTGCCATTGTGTATCTCGGTATCTTGAGCCCGGATTCAGCCCCGTTGGCAGGGCAGACGTGGTTTTTATTCCGTTGCCGAAAAGCGATGGTGTGGAGTTGCTGTACTTGGAGTGGTTTTGGCCTGGAAACGTGTTTTGGTGCTTTCCATCCCGTGCAGGCAGCGTGTGGTTTGAATGAGCTCCGGGAGCCTCGTCGTGCGGGGGGGTGAGGGGGGGGGAGGGAGGTCTGAACGCTGTGACGAGGAGCTGATAACGAAGATGAGGTTGGGACAAGAGTCTCGTGGGAGGCGGTGCTCCAAAACAGGAATATTTCCCTGGAAGGCGGCATTCAGCTCCACCAGAGAGGTGTTGGGGGGTCTCTGGAGCAGCCCCTGCTGCGTTGAGTTCTTCTCCTCATGGTGCCAGTAAACCAGCTGGGTCATACCTCATCTGAAACGGGCAGAGGGACCTGGTTGGTGGTTAGATTGGTTTTACATTTTTGTCACGAAATAGAGGTTTAGTGCCATGGGGAGGCTTTTGTCCTGTGGGAAATTGGTGGGGAAGCAGGAGTGATTCTGGTGGCACGCAGAGTCCCGCCGGGCAGGCGGCTGAGTTTCCACGAGCCCCGGGGAGGGAGGAGAGATGGAGGCTGCCTGAGCCCCGGTGAGGTCTTCTGACCTCCTGATGTCTGGCAGAAGGTTTTGCACCAGGATGTAGTGTCTGAGAAATTGGGGAAAGAGGGGAGTGACAGAGGAGAGGGAAAAACACAAGGATGCAGCCATGGCAGAGGAAGAGGTAACGTTTTGTGGAGCCTCAGCTCTGGAGGAAGGCTCAGCAAATCTGCCTGGTGGAGGAGCAGGCAGCAGGAAGGGGCAAGTACTGAGGTATTTTAATTCTGGGCCGCCTCCTCCCCCCTTCTTTCTCACTTTTATTTTCATTTTTTCCACCATTACCTTACTTCCTTTAGAGGAATAAAGGGCCCATCTGGTCTTTTGAATCTATCTTTGCTATTCCCTGCTCTCGAGCTAGCAAACTTTAGGACAGAAAAGAAATACTTTTATGCAGTAGTGATGAAAAGGATCAACAGTTTGTTTTGTTGCAGATTTTCCCCCACTGAAGGGAAGTTTAATGCAGCAGCTTTACAGTACATCGCAGCCAGGAAATGAAACCAGGACTGAAGTGCAGATGACCAAAGTGTTTTATCTAAAATGCTTTCAGCTCTCCTCATTTTGGGTGCTGCTTTTGTAATGAGGAGACTTTTTAAGATGGGTCTGTCTGTCTTGGTAACATACAGTCCTTCCGCCTGTCTCTGTCTAGGCCAGATATTTACCATGAACAACTAATTCTGATCACAGTAAAGGAGCTGTTTTTTCCTTCACTATGTGAAAATGAACATTTGTAAATGAAGGCCTAGGAGAGGATAAGCTGGGGACCAGGCATAATGTAGGTAGGATGCTCTGCTGAGGAGTAACAGACAGTCTGGTTATCTGTCAGCACCAACTTGCTGTACAAAATCCAAGTGTCTGCTCAGAGTTTGTATAATAAGTGAAAGGAAAGAAGCAAACAAGGCCAAGAATTTCCTTTTTTAAAATAGTGGCCTGTGTGTGAGCAGCCTGGGCTGCACGTGTCTCTGGAGGAATTTGGGTTCTCCAGGAGCGCTTTTGAAGTGCTGACTTGATTTATGTGGGTTTCGAGGAGGACGTAGGGAGCCTCAGGTATCACTCAGGTCTTACGCTTGGGGAGGGAAATCCTGAAACTGCTCCCCAGAGATGCCTGTTCCCATGGAGCAGAGACGGGCCCCAGGTCCCAGGAGGTGCTGCTGGAAGCCACTCATGGTTGTATTCAGGTTTTTGGCGTACTGTTTCCAGGGAACATCCAGGAGTGAGGTGCCTGAATCCCACTCATTTTCCCTGGTGTTCCTTCGGATGCACCAGCCTTCATCTCCACTTAGTGAGCAGGAGGATTAATTAAATAGGAGTGACTGGAGGGGGCTGCAGTTCCTCCCATAGCACCACCCAGCACAATGTGGATGTTCTGGCTTAGGGGAGGTGACACCATTCTGAGGACTGCACGGGATGAGTTTTTAGCCAGGCAGGTGCACAACCAGCCCGAGCATCTGCCTGCAGTCCTGGGAGGGGAGAAGCCTGGCTGAGAGGCATTGGGGTCTGCCAGGGAGGTTTTGCCATTTTGTTTTGGCAGAACCTGTGGCGCCGTGTGGTTCCTTGGTCTGCAGGCACGGAGGGATGCTTTTAGAGGTGCTATGTGTAGCATTGCATTTCATATAGGTAGATGGAAATCTCCATCTGATGGAGACGATCTGCACCCTTACCAAGAGTCTTTTAATTTAAAATCAGTTTTTATAAATGGTTTTCTTGTTATAAATATTTGTTATTTATTGAGCTCTGGCTTCCTTATTATTTAGAGCAGAGCTGGTAAGCTGCAGGTGTTTTAGGAGGGCCCCAGGCGTCTTGTTTTGCAGCGAAATACTGGGCTGCTTACCAGCAGTCGGGCAGAGAAGATCTCCTAGCGAAGTCTGCAGGTTTCTTTCCCCCTGGGCAGAAGCAGAGTGGTAGCTGAGAAACCCCATGGAGACCTGGAACCCCAGCACCTTTGAATGGGTGTGATCAGCTTGAAGGCCAGCAGAGCTCTTCCAGAGTTTTGTGCATAATGAAGTTAGTGTTTTAGCACTGCCAAAACCACAATTCATTTAACTTTAAAGCTGTACACACCTGCGGACTTTACCAAAAGTGCTGGTGATGATGCACCAGGATGCTTTAGTGGCAATGAGGGTCATTTCAGGGCTGCCGAGTGGAGAATTTCTGGTTAAAATGAAAGTTCTTATGGGGTTTGTTTTGTACATGGGTGATGATAATGGCATTGTTTCCACTGGGAATGAGTGGAGGCATCCCTTGCGACCTGCTCCTGGGAGAACACCACGGCTGTCAGGAGATGCCTGCCTACAGCGGAGAGGAGGGTGAGGCAGGGCAAAGCAGGTCCTGGTGGAAGAAGGAAAGCTGGAAGGATCACGACAAGTGGATTAGTGGGTGTGTGCAGATTGCAAAGCTTATCTCAACTGTAAGGAACCAAGCAAGTAAGTATTTGCCTGGGATAGGGCTCTCCAAGATTACAGCTGTATGCGCTTCTCCTCCCTTCCTCTTGGGAGCTCGGCTGGGTTTGCAAGCTAAGGGAAAATCTGGACCGAAAGGAAAGAAAAAGGAAGCAGATGAGGCAGAGGATCAATAGGTCTTTCAGCCAGGATGCTGTGGCAGTGGGGAGTGAAAGGAATAAGGAGCCTCATTCATTTGGCACTGGAACTCGCATAATCTCTGACATCGCTGTAAGGTACTTAAAATGTCACTGACGTGAGTTTGATGGCATTCTGTACTTCGCTGGCAGCGTGTACACAACTGTCTAGAGCAAAGTCAAGGGGTCAAGAACATGGCGTGCAGAAACACTACAGAAAAATTGCCATTTGCCCACTGTGGTTCTTTGGGCAGGGAGGGCCTGCACCTCTTTGCTACCACTGAGTGAGAGTGTGGGGCTGACAGGAGTGATGGCACCCAGTGGTGAATGGGACCGGACTGCCAGATTTTCCAGGCACTCGATCTCACACAGGTCTCCAGATCTCCTTGGAACCAACCCTTGGGCAAGTGTGACTGCACAGTAGCTGATAACAGCACAGTGAGGCACATGGTGTGGCTCATTTAGGGTTTGGTATAGGAGTGGCTGGGTTAAAGTGAGCCACGGGGAGGTGGCATCAGGTTCTGGAGAAGCTCTGGAG